TGAACCGTGAACTTCCAGATGTTCAAGCTGGTTTTAGAAAAGGCAGAGGAGTCAGAGGTCAAATTGCCAACATCTGCTGAATCATTGAAAAAGCAAGAAAGTTCCAGAAAAATACATATTTCTGCTTTATTGACTATGCCAAAGCCTTTGACTGTGTGGAACACAATAAACTGTGGAAAATTCTGAAAGAGGTGGGAATGCCAGACCACCTGACCTGCCTCTTGAGAAACCTGTATGCAGGTCAGGAAGCAACAGTTAGAACTGGACATGGACCAACAGACTGGTTCCAAATAGGAAAAGGAGTACATCAAGGCTGTATATTGTCACCCTGCTTATTTAACTTATATGCAGAGTACATCATGAGAAACGCTGGGCTGGAGGAAGCACAAGCTGGAATCAAGATTGCTGGGAGAAATATCAATAACCTCAGATATGCAGATGGCACCACCCTTACGGCAGAAAGTGAGGAAGAACCAAAGAGCCTCTTGATGAAAGTGAAAGAGGAGAGATAAAAATAAATGGAAAAAAATAAATAAATAATAAAAGAAAAAAAAAGTTGGCTTAAAGCTTAACATTCAGAAAATTAAGATCATGGCATCCGGTCCCATCACTTCATGGGAAATAGATGGGGAAACAGTGGAAACAGTGGCTGACTTTATTTTTCTGGGCTCTAAAATCACTGCAGATGGTGATTGCAGCCATGAAATTAAAAGATGCTTACTCCTTGGAAGGAAAGTTATGACCAACCTAGACAGCATATTAAAAAGCAGAGACATTACTTTGCCAACAGAGGTCCATCTAGTCAAGGCTGTGGTTTTTCCAGTGGTCATGTGTGGATTGTGTGGATGTGAGAATTGGACCATAAAGAAAGCTGAGCACTGGAGAATTGATGCTTTTCAACTGTGATGTTGGAAAAGACTCTTGAGAGTCCCTTGGACTGCAAGGAGATCCAACCAGTCCATCCTAAAGGAAATCAATCCTGAATGTTCATTGGAAGGACTGATGTTGAAGCTAAAACTCAATATTTTGGCCATCTGATGCGAAGAGCTGACTCATTTGAAAAGACCCTGATGCTGGGAAAGATTGAGGGCAGGAGGAGAAAGGGACGACAGAGGATGAGGTGGTTGGATGGCATCACCGACTCAATGGACATGGGTTTGTGTAGACTCTGGCAGTTGATAATGGACAGGGAGGCCTGGCGTGCTGCGGTTCATGGGGTCGCAGAGTTGGACACGACTGAGTGACTGAAGTGAACTGAACTGAAACATTAATTAGATTCTAATAAATTATGCATTCAATTTTAGAGTTTAAAATAGTTGTCATGAATTTTTAAGATCATAATAAGTTATCACTTATGTCAGCTATCGCTACACTATCTTTGATGAATTTTTAAAAGTGTTAATATAGTTTAATCTGTTTCTGTCTTTAAATATAAGATGCTACTTTAAGGTAGCAGTTTCATTTCCCTCAGGAGCAGATTTTATATGGGAATGCCTTTAGCTTCTTTACATTGTAGTATTAAATGTTTTTTTCCCCCCTCGTTGTTGAAATTTGTTATAAATAATCAAAGAATTTTTTTCAAATAGAGGACATTTTTGTTGCTGGGTTTTAATGAACTTGTTAAGGGTAGTTATGGACGTGTGTCCATTTAAAAATAGAAACAAATTTTGTAAACTATTTGAAAAACAATCAGAACTTTGCGTTATAATTCTTATTGTCCAAGCGGACACAGACACTGCTCTCATTGGTACTCTAGAGTTGGAGTGTTGGAGCATAAGTTTAATCTACAATACCCTTGCTGTTTAATGAGTCTGAGCAGGGAAAAACTGTTAGAATATTTATATTTGTATTATCCCCTATAATAATTGGTTTGAACTCAAGTCATTTTAGCTATCACTGAATATCTTCATGTGGCAATTCTAATCAAGGTATAGAATCATAGTAGTAAATTACTATGTAACAAATTACAAATAGGATCTTAATTTTTCCCATTAGTTATGCTTTTTACCTGGGAGGTGTATGTAAACATACAAGGAGAGGCAGATATTTAAATCTATTAGTAGGCAAATGGAGACTCTTATGTACAAACAGTGTAATTTAAAAAATATGTTTTATACAAGAAAAGAAAGTAGAATTTTTAGTGTGGACCACATGCATGCTGTAAACAAACAGTTGATTTAACTATTGTAACTCCTCTCTATTTCCTGAAATTGAACCTCAGTGTTTAGTTTCAGAAAAGAGAATTCAAAGTATGTAAGAGAGATAACATTTAAAAATTACCCTGGGATAAAAACTGAGCCAGCACTTATGTCATCCTGTATGTGGGTGGCCGTATTAGACATTCTTTGGCATCTTAGTAGAGGTTTGTCTTGACTGAAAAAGAAATGTGGAAGATAGTACTTTTCATTTAGTATCCTACCCTGTGATTTCATAAATGATGTAGTATCAAAGTTAAGGGATTATTTCTAACCAAGTGTTTTGTAAAGTCTTTAAGAGTTTCTACTGAAAGGCGATTCAGTTATCTCTTCTCCAGGCTTGATAAACTCAGGTTCCCATTACTTTTAACCTACAGGTTATATTTTCCTATTTCTAAGTTACTGTGATGGGTCTTACTTAGACTCTATCAAAAAGGTTTTCTCATAGAGTAGTGTTAAGACAAATCTGAAGTTCTTAGCCCATTCCATGGAACATAGTACTCAGTGAATGATAGCTAATAAGAACAAGAAAAGTAAGAACGTTGAAAATAATGCCATGATTTATTTAAATGTAGCTTTGAATTCTAATCTAGGCTTAAATTTAAGTATTTTTCATTTTTTCCCCTTTTCTGAGATAAAGTATATTCTAGTATGCTACTACTTTAGTATTTGAAACATTCATGAGTTAGAGGTACTAAAAATAGTACATTAGTAATAAAAAAAAATTAATTCATCTAGTTATATCTGTGACTTCCCCCAACCTTTATTTTTCAGCTCTCCGAAAGCCCCTTCTTGATGAACCTATTTTTTTTGTGTATGTGTGGGGGTGTGCTCAGTACTGTTATGCAGCCCTGACAGCTACTCTGTCATTGTAGGGCAAGAATGAAACCTGCTTGGGGTCATTTATAGCTTATTGTCTGTGTAGACATAATCGTGCTCAATTTTATTCAGACTTAAAAATTCAGTTCCTAGTAGTACATTGGTAAGCGTAGTTTTGATCTTAAAGAGATCTTCAAAGATAAGAACTACCTTTGTCAGTTCCTCAAAGATAGAAACTTTCTCCTGTTCATCTTTGAATTCCCAGTGCCTGGAACATAGTAAACAAATGCAGGAATGAATATCTTTTGTCCACCCCCATCCTTTCTCCCACTTCTGCCTGACCATTCAATAAAGCTTTTAGTGTTCTTTTGTGGGAATGGAGAGTTTTGTATGTGCTATGAATTAAAAAACATATTAAGTTAAACTAAAAGAAACAATCAAGGAAGTGGAATGTGTAAAGAAAATCACTTTTGCCTGTGTATATATCTTGATACTTTTTTGTTCATCTTTGTTACAACTAGCCTTTGATAGAAACATTTTCTTACTGTTCTTCTAGATAGTTTCATTGTGCTTTCCATATTTCTTTCTCTCTTTCAAATTTTCCTGTTTGTGAAATCCAGGGAATTAATACATAGACATTAAAAACTAATGTAAGTATCTAGTAAGGGAATTAGGACAGCTTAATAACTAGGAAAATAATCTTATTTGTATGGAGAAAACTGCATGTAGCTTTTTTAGGTTCATTTGAATTGTAGTATACTAGGAAAAGAGTAACTTAACTGCCTTTATCCCCAACACAATACACTGTAAACCTAATTCTTCCAATTATGACATACCCTTATTTCTGCCTCCCAGGGTACACCCAGTATGCCATGAGGATTACCTCCCTCCTCCCAACAAAATAAAAGCAACTATCTAGTTTGTTTTCTGCCAAGCCACTTCTTCATAACTTGACTCCTTATTTGCTGACCAGGATATATGTTGATGACTAAATCGTTTCTGTGAAAGGGAGCCATATTTTTTACCCTGCCAATTAAAAAAAAGTGTTTGTTTTCCCATCAAAGTAATATGACCGTCCCTGAAAGAGTCTTATATGAAAATGTAACACCCATTAAATCACTCAATCATGAAAACACACATGCACAAAATATCCTTTTCTACCAATAAAGTATGTGAACTGCTTATTTGCTTTCCCCCTTCTCACACTGGATATTGAGCTAAATCCTTTCCAGAAATCTAGATTGTCCTTGAGTATCAGTTCTTCAGCTGTCCTTTTGGCCTTTGCACACTCTCCACAACACTCCATCTGAATATTCACACACAAATGTTATGATTTCATTTTGAATGAATAGACAGCATTGTCAGACATGGCACTTAGTAGCCCACCTGCAAATCACTGATAAAATAATGACCCAGGCCATTTTGCTCAAGTCTGTTTAAGTTAGGAAGTGGTTTGGTTTTTGTCAGCAATGTTAGTAATATTTTTGGGCTTATTTCTTGGTGAAGGATTAAGTAGTGGTGGATTAAAATGTAGCTTTAAATTTTCTTTGAGTTTAATTTTTGTTGTTATTGCTTTGATGGTAGATTTTTACCAATCTGAGGCAGAAAACTAGAATGTCTGGAAGGAGAATTGTAAATGCATTATAACCAAATTGAGCTTGCTACAATTTTACAATAAATATTCAGATCAGTTTTAGGATGTGGTAGGTTTGTGATAATGAGGTTGAGGAAAGAATTGGCTTATAAATCTAGCATTTAAAATTCATGAATGTTACAAATTATTTGAAGGTTAGAAATATAGATAAGAATTTAAAATGTTAATTTGCAATAATGGTTATATGTAAAATCTACATGTGTGTAGTAACAAGTAAGGAAAGAATTCAAAACCACATGCAAGTTGGTTGTTTTTTTTGAATTAGAAATGAAGTTGCAACAGCATAATCTTAACCTTTTTGCATTTTATTTATAGTTTTTTTTTAATTTTAGTTTCAGTCTGATGGAAGCAAACAAGAAGATAAAGAGAAAACGGTAAGAGACTAGAAAAGTCCAATGTGTCTAATGTTTGTCTAGGTACAGCATACTGCAAATTTTACTGTGAACAAGCTTTAATCAACTATGTGAATAACTATCTTGTACATATTGAATATAGCTTTTGGCTTATCATACAAAGTATCTTTTAAGATTGACAGCCTCCTGTTTTTGAGGATTACCTTGTTCAAGAAAGGAAAAGGGATAAAAAGTCCCTCATTCTTGCTCCACCTTTCCTTCCCTCACCTCATTTGCTTTCGTAGATAGAGAAACACAAATACATTATGAAAAGTATGGTGATAATGTGGGGAATTAGATATGGTGTGTTATGAAATCAAAGAATGGCAATTTTCCCAAGGCTCACATAAATTTGTTTTGGGGAGAGGGATTAATATGCACCTGTTACTGAAATAATTTTTCTTCCCTTCTTCTTAGGAAGTTATCCTAAGCTGTTTGCTTAGCATTACTGACCAGGTATTACTTCCATCTCTTTCTTTGATGGACTGCAATGCTTGTATGTCTGAGGAACTATGGGGAATGTTTAAAACATTTCCATATCAGCATAGGTAAATATATAATATTTTTGTTGTTTTTAGTTAAACAGTTCTAGTGCACTAACCTCAAAATGTTTAACTTTTCATAATTCTTCATCTCATCATTTTTAAAGATATCGTCTGTATGGCCAGTGGAAGAATGAAACTTACAACAGTCATCCACTTTTAGTAAAAGTTAAAGCTCAAACAATAGACAGAGCCAAATATATCATGAAGTAAGTTTTAATTTATTTTTCTTCTTAATATCTGGATCTGATTTACTTTCTTTCAGCCAGCTTGTCTGAGTTTCAGTTTTGAGGATGCCCAGGAGTATTTACTAATTGTATAGCTGATTATGTACTTCCCATAGAGTGACTCCCAATTTTTGTGGTTTTTAGCTTGTTTTGACTACAGTGTTAGCTTTTGTAGTTGTCATTTTGCATAGCTACAAACTGTATAAAAATCCTTTATAGGATGCATTATATTATAGGATTTTTTTTAAAGGAGAGCATACTGTGGCCTTTGCTCAATTTGGGTAATACATCCAATGGCTTGTACAAGATAGTCAAAGTTCTAGGAATTTCTTCTGAAAGTTATAGCAGTTTTTTTCCCCCCTTTTGGAAGATCTAGTAGAATCATGCAGAACTATCTCCTTAGGGAGTCAACTTTTGAAAAATTTCCATTTTTTAAATTTGTGTGCTTTATTTTCATGTCACTAAAAACACAAGAGTGATGTTTTTCCTAATTCCTAGTAAACTGTTTGAAGTTTAATTATGAAAATTGTATACTTCAAATCAGTACTGGTTTAGATACTAATTACACTGCTGTATTGCAAGGATTTTCAGCAAGGCTGTTTTTTGTCATTTCTTTTACATTCGAGCAGTAGTATGGTTATTCTAATAAGAAGTAGTGCATTCTCTAGTTTAACTAGATTAAACAGTATGCAGTGATACTTTTCTTTGCCTAGTGATATTATCCTAGGTTGCAGTCTACTAGGGAAACAAGTGTGTGCACAATCACAGTCTGGTTTAATAGATAGCTGTTACACAGCATGTATAAAGTTCTCTGGGACAGTTGAGAAGAGAATGAATTATTCCACCTCATGGAAGTTAGGAAAGGAAGGCATGGTAAGAGGTGATTTAAGAACTGGTCCTTCCAAAAGAGTACCAGTTTTAAGAATTCCCCAAGTAGAGTTCTAGCTTAATAATAGCTAATATTTATGAAGCCATTACTATATGTGATGGACACGGAACTAAGTGCTTTATATGGATTATTTAATGATGTATTAAATATTGAATCTGTCTCTTCCACTCTCTACCCCCACTTACTTAGTTCTTTCAGCTGGAGTATTATAGTGCCTTGTATTATTCTCTTTCTTCAAAATCCTTTGGTGACTAACCATTGCCTGCAGGTTATATGTCAAACTTCATGGCATGGTGATATAAGAGAACCTCCATGATCTATCTCTCATTATTTCCATCCTCATTTCCTGTCAGTTTTACCTCTAGCTGTACTGAGCCCCATGTATGTTTCCCTGAATGTGCTATGGTCTCCTTTTTCTTTGCATATATTTTTTCTTTTGTTCATACAGGTTTTCTCTTACCTCTTTTCCTCTCTTCATCTGGTGACCTCACCCTTGGATGGTGGGCTCCAGTGTCACCTCTGTGAAGCCTTCCATTGCATATACCACCAAGCAAAATTGATTTTTTAAAAATTTAATTAAGTAATTAATTTTTGGGTCGCTGGGTCTTTATTGCTGCGTGTGGGCTTTCTCTAGTTGCGGTGCGCGGGCTTCTCATTGCAGTGGCTTCTCTTGTTGCAGAGCACGGGCTCTAGGGTGTGCAGGCTCAGTAGTTGTGGTGCATGGGCTTAGTTGCCCCTCGGCATGTGGAATCTTCCCGGAGCAGGGATCGAACCGTGTCCCCTGCATTGGCAGGCGGATTCTTAACAACTGGACCACCAGGGAAGTCCGACGATTGTTCTTTATTTGTGCCGCCACTATTAAATATGCATATAAATACTATCATACTGCTTATGTATATTGCTATGATTATTTTTCTTTTTAAAATTATCTATTTTTTTTCTAGTTTATACATTCACATGTTTTAAATTTTAGTAGATATGAAAAAGGAAACAGTAAAAAGTCTCTCACCCTGTCCACTCAGTTCTCCCAAGGGAAAAAATGTGGCCACTGTTTAGTTTCTTATTTATCATTTGATATTTTTATGTATATGCAAATAGATACAAATATATTATTCCCTCTCCTTTTATACTATTGATAGTGTATAATACGTAATGTTCTATAAGTTGTTCTAATTGTTTATGAATAAAAAAATTTTTTAAATGGTTTTAAATCTACCTCCCCAGCTGAACTGAGCTTGAGAGCAGGAACTGTTAACTCATCCTTGTATTTCTAGTGATTACTCTGCCCATCATAGAGGACATTAATATGAATTAATGAATAAGTAAATTAATGTTTATCACAGAACAATATGTGCAGAATTTTTCATGTATTTGGATTTTTTTGTTAGCTGTAACTGTTACACTAGCCTTGAACAATATGATTTTAGTATTCATTGAATTTTTAAAGTTGAGAATGAAATCATTAATTTATTACTTGAGAATTTCACCAGTTTTGATTACTGTTTAAAACATGAATTTTCTATAGGGCATCCAGTAATTCATTCCACAGATGCTCATTGATTGTGTTCCATATGCCAAGCACCATAGTTGCTTGAGGGGAAGGCATAATCAAGAGAATATTCCTTTTATTATAATTTTTTTTTGGTGGAGGAAGGAAGCAGAAAGGAATGAAATAAAAAATATGGGAAAGAAGGGCTGTTTTTGTCAAGTAGGAGGGCTACCTGAAATAGGGTTAGAAGTAAAGTCAGGTGGTGGTAAGCTTGAAAGTGGAACAGAGTATAGCCAAAGTTTAAAACTGATGAGTCATTCTTTTCTATGGGAAAAAAAAGAAACTGGGCATAGAGAATGAGAAAGGGAAGCAGTTGTTGATGAAATAATTTTGATTAATGGATCAGTTTTGTCTTAAGTTTTTTAAGATAATTATAGTTTGTCACTTCCAGAATGGTCACATTCCTTGAACTGTCAACTAAATTCATTATTTGCATCATTATATTTTCATTCTAGAAAGCTGTCACTTGTTATTTTTTCAAGTTTCTAGATTTATTATGTAATAATCTCATCAGAAGAGTTTAAGATCCTGTGAAATAATTGTTTTGAATTTGTAAGCATTTCATAGATATAAATTTCCAAAATGTTAGTAAAAGAATACTTAATAGAGGGTGAATTAAAGAGAAAGGAAAGAGTAGAATTGATTTTTCAGGACTTGATTACTTTGAGTATGAAAATCAGAGAACTTCCTGTATCGAATACAGTCTTGGCTATCATTCTTTTAGGGTCACTAAGATGACATGAGGCATTTCAATGTATTATACCAAATTTGTTATCTTAATCCCTAAACTGATAGTGAGCCCTTCTAAATCTGAAATAATTATTCTCTGTAAGAAGAGTTTTATGTACTTGTAGAGTACGTTAAGAGTTTTAATGCTTATGAGACTATTACTATAAAATGAAAATGTGTCTATTGTAAATGTTAAGTATTAATACAAAAGTTTAATACCTTCTTGGAGAATGCATAATCAAAATAGCTCAAGTCCTGCAGTAAAGCATATGATGAGGGTAATTGTTTACATGGATCCATTTTGGATATATGGGAAATAAATTTTTTTTCATAATGTAACAAAGCTACCAACATTACAAGGGAAATTACTTAAGATGATCCCTGCCACCTTTTTCTCCCCTTGTAGGCGTCTAACCAAGGAAAATGTGAAGCCTTCTGGAAGACAAATTGGGAAGTTGAGCCACAGCAATCCAACCATTTTGTTTGATTATGTATGTTTTGAGGTTAATATTATTTTCAGGGATTTTTCTTTTTGTTGTCTTTGAATCAGCACAAGTGGAAATAGAATGATGTAGCTTAAAAATGATAGTTTTAGGGGAAAAATCTTAGCAAATGATCCATTGTATGGTTATTCTAAAAATAAAATTTAGTATGCGATATACTTAACACATTGATCTGCTTTTCTAGTAATATGTGACAATGCTGCTGCTATAAACAGATTCTCTGACATTGTCTCATGTACCACATTTCAAGTTATAAAAACATTAATAAAGAGGTACATTATTTGTTGATTTAGTTTTTAGAAACACTTGAACAGCATTTCATTGCAATTCAGATGTAACACTTTCGTATTTAGAATGTGATTTCTAAAACACATCTGACATCAGTCTAGCCTCTATAATTCCAAAATTCAAGTTTGGGTGTCCTAGAATTATTTCCTAGCTGGAAAATGTAGCCTAAGAAAATATTTTCTTAGGAAATGATAGAATAGTAGGTTTTATATAAATAAACAATGGAAGGAAACTAATTTTAAGTATTATTTCTTTTGAAAAATAAAAAAGACTAGCCATTATTTAGTTAGCACAGTAAAAGTTCTCTTTTGATTAGTTAAATGCTTTTTATTCTTTGTTGCCATCTTCCAGATCTTGTCACAAATACAGAAGTATGATAACTTAATAACACCTGTAGTAGATTCATTGAAATACCTCACTTCATTGAATTATGACGTCTTGGCCTGTATCCTTTCAAATGAAGTAATTCATAGATTTTACATTTCATAGGTTGTAGCGGTGAATGTTTTATTTTCATTCTAAATTCCTTTCTTAACCGTCTGAGGTTGATTCAGATGGCTTATTGGAAGGTTGGCCAGTCTGGAGTTTGTGTCTGGGTTGTATATTGGGAAAGATAATGTTAAGATTACCAAAAATCTTTGATATATCTTGCATGCTAAAAGATGGAAAAGAGGCTGCTAAAAAGAAAAGTTGGTATTACCGTGAGTGTATTTTTAAATAATTTGTAATAAATTTAAGCTAACAATTAACTTTTTTTCCCAAAGGGTGGCATTTTATTGTTCTCTTAGCTAAAGGTCATTGTTAGAGATGTAATGACTTAAAATTTTTTCTTAATATATGAAAGATTGTATCATTGAAGCTTTAGCTAATCCAGAAAAGGAGAAAATGAAACATGACGACACAACCATCTCAAGTTGGCTTCAGAGTAAGTATTTTTATTTTTCCAAGGATGAAATTTGTTAACTGCCGTGCTATGTATTCTGTTACCTATGCTAAGAATCTATTTGTCAAGAGCTTTTGAAACTATCTAACCACTCAGCTTGTTCTACAAAGGGTTCAAGTCCTTGGTTGTGTAAGGAGGTTCATATGGTATTTATTCCTTTTCTAACTCAAGAGATCAGTATTGGCTGTGATAGAATTTGGAGAAACATTACTAGGGAGATGAGAGTTCCCATCCATTCTATTATTTTAGAAGAATTAATCTTAAGGGAACTATTCTTCCATCTCTCCTTTCCATCCTGAGGTTTCAGTTACCTTAAAAGAACAAAAACTTGGTTGTTTAATAAAAAGCCCTAGCATTGGTTTTTTTTTTCCCTTGTACCTTTGATTTCTAGCAGCCATTTACATTTTCTTTCAACCAGTTGTGTCTCTAATAGCTGAATCTTCAGTAACTCTCCATTGCCCTTTGAAGTCTGCAATCTGTAATATATCATACAAGTAAGTTCTTTTGGAATCAGGTCCTCTTTCTATACTAGCCTCATCTTTTGCCCCTCCCTAGTATTCTAATTCACATGGAAAGTGAACTTCTTACACTTTCCATGGCCCTTTTGCACATATTATTCCCTCTTCTTGGGGGTACACATCCATACCCACTCATCTTTTCCAGCACACTTCTACTTATTCATTAGATTTCAGGTCACTTTCTTTGGGAAGCTTTCCCTGTTAACACCTCCCACCCAAAAAGTCAGAATAAAGTGTCCCTCTTCTGTACTGTTGTGTAGCTTTTTATTCATCATAGTTATTTTAGTTTACTTTTCTGTATCTCTCTGTAATGTAAGCTCCTTGAGACTAGGACCTGTGTTTTGTGCATTATCCTTTAGGTGCTCAGCAAATAATTGTTGAAAAGGATGCAGATCACTTGACTTCACTAGGGTCTCCTCCTCTTGTCTTGACTGGGATTTTCTCCCTACCATTGTGATAAAGACTATTGGCTAAAATTGGTCTTTTGTTTGCTTCTTGGTCTGGCGATGTTTCCTTGCACCTCCACAACTGGTGGCACATTCCTAGATAAAGTGAGATTTTTTTGTGACTCAAACATTTGAGGGGCAAGTGTTTTATTGATCATTCAAGTTTGAGTTATATGCAAGATTCTGTTGTAGCGTAATTTATGTCACAGGTTGTGGAATCAGGCCTAAATATTTGAATCACTGTTCTACCTCATACCCAACTCTGTGACCCTTAGCTAGTTTCATGACATAACTGTTCCAAAATTTTCCTTATTGATAGATTTATACCAACTTGAGGTGATTATTGCAAAGATTAAATGAGATAATTACATAATATCAGCTACATAATCAACTTAGTAGACTGCTTGGCATATGTATGATCAATGAATATTAGCTATTAGGTTGGTGCAAAAGTAATTGCAGTTGTGCATTGTTGAACTTGACCATTTGATATTGAATATTGTTCATTGATATTGAACCACATTCTTAAATAAATGTGGTTATACACTTTTGTATAAAATGATGTTCTATAGCATTTTAATGTGCATTTCTCATTTTTTTGCGTATGACTTACTACTTGCTGTTTTTTTATATTTATTTTAGACTAGGGAAATGATGTTAGACAAAAAAAAATTTGAATGATTTTCTTATTTGAGTTCAAAATGGATTGTAAAGCAGCGGAGACAACTTGCAGCATCAGCAGTGCATTTGGCCCAGGAACTGCTAATGGATGTATAGTGCAGTGGTAGTTCAAGAAGTTTTGCAAAGGAGACAAGAGCCTTGAAGATAAGGAGCACACTGCCATCAAAGTTGACAGTGATTAACTGAGAGGATTATCAAAGTTGATCCTCTTACAGCTACACAATAAGTTTCCCAGGAACTCTGTCAACCATTCTATGGTTGTTTGGCATTTGAAGCAAATTGGAAAGATGAAAAAGCTTGATAAGTGGATGCCTTGTGAGCTCACTGCAAATCAAAAAAATCGTCATTTTGAGGTGTCATCTTCTCTTTCTCTACACAACAACAGACCACTTCTTGATTGGATTGTGACATGTGACAAAAAGTGGATTGTGTAAGACAACTGGGGATGACCAGCTCAGTGGTTGAACCGAGAAGCTCCAAAGCACTTCCCAAAGCCAAACTTGCACCAAAAAAGGTCATGGTCACTGTTTGGTGGTCTGCTGTTGGTCTGATCCACTATAGCTTTCTGAATCCTGGCGAAACCATTACATTTGAGAAGTATGCTCAACAAATTAATGATGTGCACTGAAAACTGCAGTGCCTGCATCTGGCACTGATCAACAGAAAGGGCCCAGTTTTTCTCCATGACCATGCCTGACCGCATGGCACACAACCAACACTTCAAAAGTTGAATGAATTGGGTTACAAAGTTTCACCTCATCTGCCATGTTTACCTGACCTGTTGCCAGCTGACTACCACTTCTTCAAGCATCTTGACAACTTTTTGCAGGGTACATGCTTCCACAATCAGCAGGATGCAGAAAATGCTTTCCAAGAGTTTCCCAAATCCTGAAGAATGGATATTTTATGCTTCAGGAATAAACAAACTTATTTCTTGTTGGCAAAAATGTGTTGATTGTAGTGGTTCCTATTTTGATTCATAAAGATGTGCTTGAGCTAGTTATAATGATTTAAAATTTCACTGTCTGAAACCGCAGTTGCTTTTGTACCAACCTTAATGTTATTAATTATAAAATTCTATTCAGTGGCATCAGCAACACAGTTTTTCCCAGCTCATTTTGTTTTGGAAATTGAGTTAGTTGAAATGACACTTAATATTGTGCTTTTTGTTTTACGAACTGTTTTTTTAAAAAGCCCTGTTTTTTGTTTTTTATTTCATATAGGTCTGGCTAGTTTCTGTGGTGCAGTTTTTCGTAAATATCCAATTGATCTTGCTGGTCTTCTTCAGTATGTGGCTAATCAGCTAAAGGCAGGCAAAAGGTATTCATAGCAAATTATATGTAAATGAAATTCAATAATTAGAGTGCTTCTGCTGGTATTGGGATACTGAGGTTGCTAGTATCTTAAAAAACTATTTGTTGGTTGTAGATTTAAGAATAATAGTTGTTCACTTATTTACATGGAATTCTTTAATTAAAAGAAATTAAATTACAACTTACATATATAAACAGAATTTTGTAATTTTATAATATTTGGTTATATATGTAACTCATTAAAAATTCATATTGACTATGCATTAGACTTTTGAATAAATGATTGATATGGTATATTTTAAATCCTCTTATGGCAAAACATATTGCCCTATTGATTATGCTACTGGGCAGAGGAATTGGCCTTTACATTGAGCATTTGGTAGGAATGTTTATTTTGAAGGTGTATGTATTACTTTAAAACAACTATTTTTTTGAATTTAAACTTTAGAGATAGGTAACATTAATGTATCTTTGGACACTGTCCTCTTTTCTTTATAAATAGTGAGTTTTATTATTTTATTCTGGACTAATATCAGTGCTTAGAGTTTGAATTAGAATGTAGATTAAACTCCATCAGCAATAGACTGACTAGACTAAGAATTGAAAATTGTTTTCAAAAGCTTTCTGGTAGAAAGCAAACAGAAATCTGTAAAGCTCTCTGGTGCTTCAAACAAATATTATCTAAGTAATTCTTGACAGACTGTTTTGGTTTAGGGAAAATTTTTAAAAAGAAAACAAAACTATGTTAAGGATCTGTTGGCCATTCCCATACATTTTACTCTTCTGTGACTATTTAGGCCAGGAAAATAATCATGTTACCTTTAAATCTCTAGTTCAGTTTTCTGTACTGTGATAGAGTTTTTGTGACCATCTAATGGAAAGGTTTCATTGGTACTTGTTGCATACTAATTTGCATGAGGGCCCTCTTGTTTTCAAAAACTATGTTTAGAGAAGCAAGTCAAGTTGAGAGAGTAAGCACGCACTCTCTCAGAAAAACCACATTCTTTTTTCTAGGAGAAAAGAGTCTTAGAAAAACCACCTTTCCTTTGTCTGTTAACTTGTATCTTGGATATGCTTAGCTTTTACCTTTCTTTGGAAACACATCTGCATTTATTTTGTAGAAAGGTATGTTTTTACTTCATTACTTAACAAATTAAGGAAGATCTTAGAAGTCATAAAGTGTTATTTTCATCAGTAGTCCTAAACGTAGAGAATTCAAATGAATAACTGTTGGCACAGTAATAAATATGCTCAAGGCAGACCTCTGAACTGTCATCTTAGGCTCAAATATTGCAACTTGGAACTTGCATTTCCTTCCTTTTTTTCCTTTCTCCTCTCCCTGCCTCCATTCCTCCTCCTAAGTGTATTAATTACAACTCATTTACGTTTGAAGTTTCAACTGTAGACTGTTTCTTATTTTTCCTAAATAGTTTTGACCTGCTTATACTGAAAGAAGTGGTACAAAAAATGGCAGGGATAGAAATTACTGAAGAAATGACAATGGAGCAGCTAGAAGCCATGACTGGTGGAGAGCAACTCAAAGCTGAGGTGAGACTCTGCTCTTTTTGTTTAGTGACTTAAAATTCACCTTTTAAAATCACATTAAAAAATACTTGGAAATATACCTCACCATGGAAATGAAAGACTTATTATGCTGAGAACTATAAAACATTAATAAAGGAAATTGAAGATGATTCAAAGAAATGGAAAGATATTCTATGCTCTTGGATTGGAAGAATTAACATTGTTAAAATGGCCATACTACCCAAAGCAATCTACAGAGTTAATGTCATCCCTGTCAAAATACCTAGGACAGTTTTTTTAACAGAACTAGAACAGATAATCCTAGAATTTATATGGAACCATAAAAGACCCAGAATTGCCAAAGCAGTTTTGAGGGAAGAAAAACTGGAAGCATAACCCTCCCATACTTCAGACAGTACTACAAAGCTACAGTAATCAAAATGTATGCATGTTCATAATAAAGAATTTAAACTTCACATAATTACATAAAGCTAAATGTCAAAGCCATACCCTTCTCTTATAATTGTCCCCACCTCCTTTTTAAAAATTGCAATGTTCTAGTTACTTTAACCTTTTTAAAAAGCTGAAACAAAGTATAAAAGACAGTAATACATCTAAAGGGAAATAAATATCAAATCTTCTGTGGTCCTTCATACCCCAGCTGGCATAAATCTGAGCATAGTTACTCTGTTGTTGAATCTGCTCCAAAGTGACTAAAGAATAATCCTTTATAAGGAACCACATGGTAGAAAGTGGAAAATATGTAGAAGTTTAAAGACAATTGGCAGTTATCTTTAAGCCAGTGACTAAAGCCAGTGTCAGTAATAGTGTCAGTAAAATAAATTTGTCAAGAGAGGGAAGGAATGTAAGGTGTGTGAGATTTTTTATCTTCAGGATTGTAACCAAATCTTTCCTGTTTTTTTTTTTTTTTTTCAAATCAGATGGCATGTGTTATGTACTGGTACACTAGTAAATTTATGTCTTCTCTTTTGCAGGGTGGTTATTTTGGCCAGATAAGAAACACTAAAAAATCCTCCCAGAGATTAAAGGATGCACTATTAGACCATGATCTTGCTCTTCCTCTCTGCTTGCTTATGGCTCAGCAGAGGAATGGGGTAATCTTTCAGGAAGGTGGAGAGAAACATTTGAAACTTGTGGGAAAACTCTATGATCAGGCAAGTTAAAGTGGCCTTTGTGTTTATGTGGATTTTAAAATCTTGATAATGGAAAATATAGAATGTTATATAATTTGAAAAATGTCATTTGCTGATCGTATATATTATATATACCATGGTATATATATTATATGCATTATATATATATTATATATGGTATGTATATTATGGTATATGATGTATATATAAAATAGACATTCTGGAAATAGGGACAATTTCTGTGCAAATTATGATATTTAAGAGATGGCTCTAGGGGATATAATAGTATAAGGTTTTCAGTCATTTTGAAAATTTTATGGTAATAAACTTGCATTTATAATATACACAGGGTTAGAACAAAAACCTAACAAAAAGTGAATAACGATAATCATAGATTGTATAATGAACCCTTGATCAATTTTAAGCTCTAACAATTTTGCATAGTAATGTTAATTGTATCACTCTAAAAATGTATTGATGTGTTCTTGGTCAATAACATTCAGGTGACAAAAGACATAGTAATATGTCTCTAGTCAATAATGTGTTAAGCACCAAAACCTATGGCTAACCTAAAAAATGTGTTTAACTATCACCATATTACAAGGTAAAAAAAAAATCACACGTGTTTTATAAAATTTTCTACTTTTAAGGGCCAAGAGAATTGACTTGTATATACATAATATTGTTCTATAAAATTTAGGTAAATATATTTTACCACTAAAAATAGGTGGTAAAAATTAGGTGAATTTGAGACCTTGGTTGACTGTCAAATTCTCAAATTAGTCAACTTTTCAGGACTTGAGTGTCTCTTTTGTAATATGATTATATGATTAAGTTTGTGGATTGTCTCCAAAGTTCTTTCAAGTAGTAATATTTGAATTCTTAATTGTTAATCAAAATATTGTTAAAATAACACCTTAGTCATTTTGGAAAACATTATGTTGGTTTAATAAAATGTTAGCACATTTGTGTTTTTTGTCTTATTTTTTAAATTTAGTGTCATGATACCCTGGTACAGTTTGGTGGGTTTTTAGCATCTAATCTAAGCACAGAAGATTATATAAAGCGAGTGCCTTCAGTTGATGTGCTCTGTAATGAATTTCACACACCTCATGATGCAGCATTTTTCCTGTCTAGGCCAATGTATGCACACCATATTTCGGTAAGTATAAGTATTTTTGCTGCCATTCCAAGAATAATTCCACATTACTTCTTTTTTTTTTTTGACATTTTATAGTGAGTTTATTACTTTTTTTTTTCCATTTATTTTTATTAGTTGGAGGCTAATTACTTTACATCATTACAGTAGTTTTTGTCATACATTGAAATGAATT